GTCAGAAATACTGTGGTTCATATGTAAAGAATATATTTATATTATTTAGTAGTATTCTGGTTTTGGCATTCGGTATATTGTGCAGATTTATACATGATATTCTGTGGAATACTTTTTGTTGTTTTGAACCATTAAGAAATGCAGAATCGAATGTATCTAATAACCATTTTGATTGATCAAATTATATCATTTGTTTGTATTAGTTATTTCATTTTGGCACAACATGGTTTCCACACTTCTTTATCCATAGTCGCTGACATCTGTAGAAGTTCACCCAACCGAAAATGTCCATTGAAAAGACAATTGCACGTGATTATTCCTCGGTACAAAAAGTAACCAACTCTGAGGTGCTCTCAATATTGACAATCCCTAACTCACGTGTTTGTAGTAATATCGTAGTAGACCATCATGCTTTTCGGTTCATTCACGAGATTGGACCATTGTTTGCTGCAAACATGCGAGACAACGTGATCATGAATATTTCAATAAGAGGCGGTTTTTTATCCGACACGGAGAGAAAATAATTTACCAAATTTTATTTCATAACTTTTAAAAGTGATGGAGGGAAATTGTCTTATTTGCAGAAAGTATATAACTTACATAACTTGATGAGACACCACATATATTTATTACTTTTAGAATAAAACACTAATACGGCATATATAGCTTTAAGGCTTCCCAAAACCTTTATTCTTAATATGTTGACGCTGCGACCGTTAGAGCGAGCGCAAACTTGTCTGTTGATTTAATTTAGATCGGGCTCGTCAAACCGCACGTGACATTTGGTGCGTGAGTCTAGACTCTGACGTCACATGACGTTGTATGTGAGTTTCAATTCCAAGAAAAAGCCTGAACAGTGCTGAAAGTTAATGAAGAACGTTTCGTTTTCTATTTATCTTCAATATATACACTGTATCCATTAAATCAAGGCGGGTAAACTTTTTGTTGAACATTTGTCGTTATTCTCGCGAGAACGTATCTAAAACAAGTGATGCATTGTGGGTCGAAATTTTATCTTACACAATAAAAGTACTTCATTACATAGATAATGTATAAAAAGAAAGTATAAGATTGATTTAATAGTTTATTACAACAATCCTTACATGGAAAACGCAGATCAAAAACCTTATTGACAAACAGTAGTTCCTGACGGAAGTTAAGATCTGTTGTGAAGTCAATTTTGAAAAAAATAAGTTTATCGGATATATCTAATAATGAAGATAATTCAAACCCGAGTATTTTATTTCTCTATTATAAGAAGCCTTAGTCATAATACATCTTTTCAAAATTAAGAAATTAATTGAATATAATCCATAGTAATTTTTATATTAATATGCATATTTAAAGAATAAAGGAAGATCAGATATTTTAAATGATTTTTTTGAAAAGAGCTAAAATATTATCCGTGTGCAGGATATATATATGTACTTTGTTGTGAAAAAAATGCTCGGGTTCGTTCTTCATGAGATAAACATGTAAGCGATAAATTTAATTTTTCGAAGGTGACTTCACGCAATATCAACAATGATCAACATAGGATTATTTTTTGTGTGACCTAACAAAAGTTATTTTTTTAACTTTTGAATTTTGATATCTTTTAAAAGAAAAGGACTTTGGGGATATAATTTGCCAAAAGTTGAAACAATTTATGGACAATTATTTTTCAAGAAGAAAATCTAATATATATTTTTAGCCATTAGAATCGGACCAAGCGGCTTTAAAATAATCGATCATACCTTTATGGAGTTCTCTTTGCAACAGCTCTTCGACAAATAGACCCTTTGTTGTCTGAACCGAAAGTAAAGATCCAAAATACGCATATGTTTCAAGAATGGATTCCAATTCTTTTTTGATAACCCCCATTTTAATATTTATATTATTAATTTTCTCAACAGCATCGTTCCGGATTGTCTCAAGTTCATATCTTATCTCATTTGTTTCTTCGTTAAAGAGGGTCTTTATTTCACGCATGTCCTCATCAAGATTGTTCCTCATTGCTTCCAAGTCATTCTTTATTTCTTTTACTATATCATAAAGATTGTCCCTTGCTACCCCTATATCACTTTTTGTCTTAAGTATTTCCTTATCGAGATTGTTTCTTGTTATATCTATTTCACTCTTTGCATCACGTATTTCCTTACCAAATAAATCTCTTGTTGTCTGTAATTCACTCCTTGTATCACGTATTTTCTCATCTAAATCGTTTCTTGTTGTCTGTAATTTACTATTCATATCAAGTAAATCCTTCTGAAAATTGTTTCTCGTTGAATCTATTTCGCTTAATATATCCTGTAGATCCTTGTTCCTTATAGATTCCAATTCAAACTTATAATTTAGAAAAATCGCAATTGAAATAATCAGAGTCAACCCTACTGTTAGAATTATTACTGATTCGTTGTCGTTTTCCATTACTCTACCGTTTACAACTCGCTCGTATACAGGAGATCGATTTGACTAAAAATATCTTTACGTAACCTTGAATTTAAAGTTTGAGATAATGTTTTACCCGGCAGTGTTGAGGCGTATTGATTTCGTTTTAAACCTGTCGGTTTTCCTCAGGTAAATTCAGAGTGGAGTAGAGCTTAATCGAAGCGGCGGAGAAGCCCCGCTGGGAACGACGCTGGCTTGTGTATACCTACTTATACACAGGATTGGTGTGTTCCCGTTTTGCACACATTTGATAATTAGGTATAGAACAATACATGAATATGTGTGACGTGTTTTCATGCCTTATGCAGTTATGTACTAAAAAGTTCATGATATCATATAATCCAATGATTTTTGTTAGAGTGTATTAGATGCCGAAAAATATTCATTTACATTTCTTCAATTTTCATGTTTTCATTTAGTCAAAAAGGGCCGATTCCAATGGATCCGTCTAGATGGCAACCGAGTGCACGTGTGGAACTTTCGACTCCATATTTACTAGTTTTGTACGAAGACACCTATGGTGAAAATTTCATCAAATTCCGAGATATGTCGTTTCCAAGATTTTTTGTTTCTTACAGGGAATGCATGTTAAGACTTTACATCTGAAATGTGTTCAGTTTATTTAAAGAGTAATTACATTAATCAAAATTCATTTTAGATTTCATAAACATGATAAATGAAATTACATTTGAATTACGTTTAAATTACTTTGTATTTGATAAAATATCTAAATAACCCTAGCTAACCTATTCTTTCCTCAGTAATCATATACATGACACTTAATCAGATTTAAATTACTTTTGATAACTTTATTAGTTAATTTATGTGTTATTTTTTTTCTATATACACAGTAAATATACTGATGTTTTCATACATTGATCTTGACCACAAACTTCCAAATGGACCATATCATCCTCAAAAAAGTAAGGCTTTCATTTTCTTGACCTTTAATCTTGGCCTTGGTTTTGATTAATTCAAAACATTAAATTTGTTTTTAATGTTCGGCAAGATAGGACCCAGACGATAATACACGTACTGCAAGAGCGGTGGACCACAATTATCTAAACGTACTTGTGTAATTTGAACCCTGGCATTTACAGTTAACAGCCAACAATGTAAGCAACAGTTAGGTATCTAGTTTGCTATATGAATTTGTACGATCACTTTCAGGCAAAATACAGGTACATGTAAATAAAACTTTTTAATTACACAGATAAATTTTTATCGGCAAATTGCATTTATTTCCAAAATGTAATGCCCATGGCCCTTTTCGTATATTTGTGCTCTTAAATTCACAGGTATTATCAAAAATGGGTATAATATATTTCAGATCTTCATGAAAGACAATTAAAACAATGGAGAGAAGAAGATGAGGTTTACAGTGAAACTCACATTTTCCAAGAAATGCTTAACAAAGTCAGGAGACAACCTTATATGACATTTGTTGGAGTCCCGGGTCCGGAAAATCATCAACCATTCATCACATAGCCCTGATACTCCAGAAAGAAGGTTACGAGGTTGTACCAGTTATAGATATCAGGAAGATTGAAGATTATTCTGACTCCCGTCATCCACAGGTTTTTGTCATTGATGATGTGGTAGGTGTTTTAGGTCTTCAAAGACAAAAGTTAGAGTTATTGATAGACTATGAAAAAAGAATTTCAGATCCTTCCAATAGAAATACAAAAGTATTAATGTCATGTAGGGAAGCAGTGTTTAATGAATGTAACAAATCAATTTTTTTCTCAAATGAAAAAAACACAATTAAGATGCATAGTTCCGGCAATGCATTGAACGATGAAGATAAAAAAGCTATCCTTCAGAAACATGGGTTAGATAGAGATTTGTTGTCCCCTGCATTACTGGGAGAAACATTGGGTATGTTTCCTCTGTTGTGTAAACTATACTCTAAAGAGGAGAAATTTAGTAACAATGTTGAAAGGTTCTTTACCTGTCCAGCTGAATGTATTTTAGAACAATTTAATGAAATGCAAAGGCAAAATAGTTTATGCTATGCCACATTGGTCTTGTGCATGTTGAATGATAATAAACTATCAAAAGAAACATTGAAAAACACAGGGAACAACGTTTTCCGGGAAATGAAATCAAAAGTACTAGAAAGCTGTGAAGTTGAAAGTTACACTGATACATTTAAATTTGTTAAAGCATTGGAAGCTATGGAGGGGACACACACAAAAGTCTTTGGTACTGAGTTTACCATTATTCATGACTCAGTATTTGAAAACCTTGCATATCATTTTGGTTCTCAGTTTCCAGATCTTGTTTTGCAATATATTAGCAGTAGTTACATTGCTAATAACGTGAAAGTACAAGAATGTAAGAAAGAGTTAGAGGTTGAATGTAAACAAGATGAGAATGAAGAATTTATTGGTGAGGAGCATGAAACATTAAGTACTGAAAGAAGCCAGAATTTGTATGATCTCAGTCTTAGGTTGAGAGAGGATCAGTGCCCAATGTTAGCAGAGCGTTTGTACAGAGATATTGAAAATATGGAGCTGTATGATGTTTTTATGAATGATGTTTTGAAACACCCCCGTGTTTGTCAGGCTTTTATTGAGGTGTTAAAGACAAAGTCCTACAAAGAGTTAAAGTCTTTATTTCTGTCAGTACAGAAAGACGTGTCTAAGGTAGTAAGTAAAGGAGCTGATTGGTGGTGGAGCTTGGAGTGGCGCAGACGGAATGTGCTACTGAATGTGAGAGTTACAACAGGTAATCCATACAGGGTGAGGGTCATCAGTTGGGTGGTGTACTACGGCCACACTCAGATCTTACAATATATTTTAAAACAAACTGATTTACACAAAGAAACAGAGATTGAACTTTTTTGGAATGTATATTGCTCAAAGGTAAACTATGAAGCAAAAATGAGTGGATTTAACATTAAAACAGATAATGCAACGGACAAATCATGTTTATGGAACTCCATTAGCAATACAAGAAATCAAAAACAGAACAATATTCGGATTGTATCCGAACTTGACCGCTTATTTCTATTGAGTTGTTATAGTGGAGATTTAGAGATTGTCAGAATATTAATCAAATATGGCGATATACAAAATATAAATAACAATACGCAATGTATATTTTATAATACACCACTGACAGCTGCTTGTGAAGGTGGACATATGAGTGTAGTGAAGGAGCTAATAGAAGCCGGAGCTGATATAAATCAACAAGATAAGTATTATACACCACTGACAGCAGCATGTAAGGGTGGACATATGAGTAAAGTGAAGGAGCTAATAGAAGCTGGAGCTGCTATCAATCAACGAGGTGAGTATGATACACCACTGATAGCTGCATGTAAGGGTGGACATATGAGTGTAGTGAAGGAGCTACTAAAAGCCGGAGCTAATATCAATCAACGAGGTGAGTATGATACACCAATGACAGCAACATGTGGGTGTGGGAATGTGAGTATTGTAAAGGAGCTACTAGAAAAGGGGGCAGATATTAATCAACAGGGTGGGTATGATACACCACTGACAGCAGCATGTAAGTTTGGACATACGAGTGTAGTGAAAGAGTTAATAAAAGGTGGAGCAGATATCAATCAACAAGGTAAATATCATACACCACTGACAGCAGCTTGTGACGGTGGATATTTGAGTGTAGTGAAGGAGCTAATAGAAGCCGGAGCTGATATCAATCAACAAAATAAATATAATATACCACTGATAGTAGCATGTGGAAATGTACATATGAGTATATTAAAAGGTCCTATAGAAGCTGGAGCTGTTATCGGCCATCAAGAAAACTTTAATACACCACTGACAGCAGCATGTGAGGGTGGACATATTAGTGTTGTGAAAGAGCTGATAGAAGCAGGAGCTGATATCAATCAACAAGGTACGAATGGTACACCATTGATAGCAGCATGTAAGGGTGGGCATTTTATTGTAGTGAAGAAGCTTATCGAAGAAGGAGTTGATATTAATCTGCAAGGTGAGTTTTATACACAACTGACAGCAGCATATGAGGGTAGGCATATTAGTGTAGTGAAAGAGCTGATAGAAGCAGGATCTGATATCAATCAGCAGGGTGAGAATGATACACCTCTGATAGCTGCATGTGAGGGTGGGCATATTAATGTAGTGAAAGAGCTGATAGAAGCAGGAGCTGATATCAATCAACAAGGTAAAAATGATACACCATTGATAGCAGCATGTAAGGGTGGGCATATTAGTGTAGTTAAGAAGCTTATAGAAGAAGGAGCTGATATCAATCAGCAAGGTGTGTTTGATACACCACTGACAGCAGCATGTGATGGTGGCCATATAAAAGTAGTGAAAGAGCTGATAGAAGCAGGATCTGATATCAATCAGCAGGGTGAGAATGATACACCTCTGATAGCTGCATGTGAGGGTGGGCATATGAGTGTAGTGAAAGAGCTGATAGAAGCAGGAGCTGATATCAATCAACAAGATTATATTGATACATCATTGATAGTAGCATGTAAAATTGGAGATGTGAGTGTAGTGAAGGTGCTCATTGAAGTCGGAGCGAATATCAATCAGCAATATTTTTGTAATACACCACTGACAGCAGCATGTCAGGGTGGACATATTAGTGTATTGAAGGAGCTTATAGAAGCCGGAGCTGATATCAATCAGGACGGTAAGTATGATACACCACTGACAGCAGCATGTAAAGGTGGATATATGAGTGTAGTGAAGGAGCTTATAGAAGCCGGAGCTGATATCAATCTACAAAGTAAGATTGATACACCACTTAAAGCAGCATGTAGGAGAGGGCATATAATCGTAGTGAATGAGCTGATAGAAGCCGGAGCTGATATCAATGCACAAGGTGAGGATGATTCACCACTGATAGCAGCGTGTGAGGGTGGATATATGAGTGTAGTGAAGGTGCTTATAGAAGCTGGAGCAGATGTCAATCAACAAGGTGAGTTTGATACACCACTGACAGTAGCATGTGGAGGTGGACATATGAGTGTAGTGAAGGTGCTTATAGAAGCCGGAGCTGATGTCAATCAACAAGGTGAGTTTGATACACCACTGACAGCAGCATGTGGAGGTGGACATATGAGTGTAGTGAAGGTGCTTATAGAAGCCGGAGCTGATGTCAATCAACAAGGAGTAATTAATAAACCACTGACAGCAGCATATGAAGGTGGACATAAAAGTGTAATGAAGGAGCTACTTAACGCAGGTGCTGATACCAATCAAAAAGGTAAGTTTGATACACCAGTGACAGCAACATGTAAGGAAGGATTTTTGAGTGTCGTGAACGAGCTTCTTGGGACAGGAGCTGGTCTTAATGAACATAGTACACCACTGACAGCATCATGTCGGGTGGACATATGAGTGGCTACAATAGAAGCAGACTTATATCAATAAGGTTTGTCAGATACTTACTCCACAGGTAACATCGGATGAGGGTGAGAGGGGTAGATGTTATGAAGATTTACTAGAGGTTTAATATTTGAAGGAAGTGCTACAGGCTGGGGCTAATTATCATTTACAGGAGTTTTTAGTGCATATCTAAGGGTGGATATGTACATCTTTCATACTGAATAGTAGTCCTCTATTTACAAACTGAATTGACGACGGATTTTTTTCCGCTATTTCCCGACCATGACAAGGAACAAGGCTTGGGGTAATGTTAATTGTAATGGTAATGAATGACAATTATATGAACGTAAAGCAATGCCAGTAAATGTAATGTATTAATTCATAAAATCCAGTGTAATACTGGCATTACATAGCATTACAAAGCAATATTTTGTATTTACCTATATTTTTTAAAGAAATTAAAATAGACATAGGTGATGAAAATTATTTTTTTTTATTATTTACTTATTTTCATTATTATTATTATTATTATAATTATTATTTTGCAAATGATAAAATTAAATTAAAAATTTAACCTATTTGGATATTTCTGCTGTATCTATTTAAATATAATTTTTATTCTGTTGAAAGTATACTTACCGTTACATTTAAGTTTTCAAAATTATTTCAGATAAGAATTGATTACAAAGAATTTTATAGAAGTTTATTTTTAAAAAAAATCGCATATGAGATATACACTAATTAATGTACACCGAAACTAATAATTACCACCTTTTGCATAGCTAGAATGTTACAAAGACACACTGTCTATGCCTCCGTATTTAGGTAACAATAAAACAATGCATTGTTTGAAGAAATGCTCAAAATTACCAATCCTTTCTCCTGACTGTGTTTATAAAACATTAATTAAGCTGGTCTAGCTTGTACCGACCATGAAAAATACATACGGAGTATATATATCTCAGTTGATTCGATACGCAAGAGAATGCTCTACGTATGAACAATTTCTAAAACGAGGTAAATTATTGACAAGCAAGTTGACAAAACAAGAATATCAGCAGTCTCGTTTAAAGTCATTATTTCGTACGTTCTTATGGTCGATACAATAACCTTGTCAGCAAATACAGTTTATCATTGAGTCAAATGCTGACTGACATTTTCATACCAATTGTTAGTCCATTATTTATACACTGAATTGACGACGGATTTTTCCGTTATTCCTGATCATGACAAGGAGCACACGGCGGGTGTGACCGGTCGGCAGGGGATGGTCACTCCTCCATGGCACCTGATCCCACCTCTGATGTTTCGGAGGTCCGTGTTTGCTCTGCTCTTATTTTGTATTGTTTTATGGACTTTGAGATTGAATACCGTTCGTATCTCCATATCCTTCATTGTACCAAAAGAAAATATAAGACATGCAGGCATTCTGTGCTTAGCAGATCAAAATATACATCCTGTCTACTTTTTGAAAAAAGTTTGTCAATGCATTTCAGCCTTTATGTTTTATTATTAGATAATTTAGGCAGGGTTTAAAGAGCCCCAAAAGTAAAAATGTTGCTTCATGACATCGATAGTTTTACAAAAAGTGGATATTGTGCATGTGCTATATAACTACCAATTTAAAAGTTTGAACTTTCTGTGAATGCAAGTTATTTACAGTGCAATATATACAAAAACTTGAAATCAAATTTGAGTCATCTTTTATCATGTTTAGTATTGAAGGGGGGTGAATACATGCTTATGAAAAATAACATTGCAATTTTTTAAAATAAATTTCTAGTTTTAAAAACCTAAAAGAAAGAAAAGTAATGTTGTAATGGTAATGCATTTCTTTACTAAAGTAAAAGTAATGTAATGCATTGATTTAAGAAAATAGAGTAATGGTTATGGTAATTTAATGCCCAAATTTTTTAAGGTATGGTAATGTTAAACATTACTTTACAATGTAGTTCGCCCCAGGCCTGCTGAAGGAACATACAGCGGGTATGAACGGTCGGTAGGGGATGCTCACTCCTCCATGGTACATGTACCTGATCCCAACTCTGAATTTTTGGAGGTACGTGTTTGCTCTGCTCCTATTTTGTATTTGTATGGGCTATGTATTTATTCTAAATATTCAGAGACAATTCTCCTCTGTAGAGAATAGGTTTTACTAAAATTAAAATCTTTACTCTTTACTAAAATTGTAATATTTACTCAATAGTTCTAAGTATTGATGATTAAAATTTTGAGTTTTATGTATAACATCTTTTGATAACACTGATTGTTGGACATAGTTTTAGATGGATATTCTCCCGGATTTGTTTGTGTTATTATTAGGGTAAGGTTCAGAGAGTATGATTCTGTGATACTCTAGCATTGGCAGTCAGTAAAGATCAAGCAAGACGAATGTTGAGTAAGTTTATAGGATAGGTGATACTTTTTTGGTAATCTTTACATATGGGCAAATTAGTGCAAAGTGTATTGAGGAATGTGCAAGTCAGTAAAAGAGGGATAAGTGAACTTGGACAAGGTTAAAATGATGGTGAAATTAGTATTGATGTCTGGGTTAGACATTGAGAGTGTGTCGGTTCTAGAGAGGACATGGTGACTTTTAAATAAGTTTAGAAAAATCGAAGATTTGTTTGACTACCAAAAACGTACTGAGAGGAAGATAATGCTAAATAAAGAAAAGAAACATGAGAGTTGATATTCTTAAGAAAAAAAGTAACTCTGTAAAATATACATTAAGTATTTTGAAAATACGAGCATATATCCTGACTTAATTTATCAGATCTATTAAAAGGAGTCTTGAAATTTTGATTTGTTGATATTTATAGGCATGAAGATTTGCATTGCTCAGTAAGAGATTGTTTTGATGTTTTGATCTGTGTTTATTCAGTATGTGTTGTTGTAAATTATATAATTGTCCGACTCATTGTGTAATAAACATGTTTAGTTGCATTCTCATTTTGAATCATTCTGCAAAGGTGGAATAATTTTAGTCACGTTAGATGAGTGGAGAATATCATTCTTTACAAATTATTAAATTTTACTTGTTCACCCTTGACATTCATAAATATAAGAATCCAATATTTGATTCCATACTTCAATGTTTGAAATTCTGGATGTAATGCGACAATTGTTTGGTTAAAAATCAAGTTCATATCATATGAGAGTTGCTGCAAAATTATGTGAATGCTCAGTTACACTTTATCTTTTAGGTTTTATCCCGGATTGTCCCTAATGGTTTTTATCTTGAAATGTTGTATATTAATGTGTTAATATGATGTGTGTTATATTATTGCTTTTGTTTAAAATAAAAAAAAAATAATTAATGAAATGAAAAAGGTAGATTTTTAGAATAGATCTTTAAAAGAGTCAAAAGATTTGTTAATATATTTTTTATGAAGTCACATAATAAAAACATTAAAAACGATGCTTATCATTCATTTTACTTTAAGGTACATATACATAAGTTTTTGAGCATTATTTTTGCCTATTGAAAAGTTTACTTAATTGAACTTGATCGTGTCATTGTATATTCAGAAATATATTCAGACATATATTTAGATCATCTGGTGTTTTTCAACTTTTGTCGAAATGGTTAGATGTGTTGATTTGATTTGATTTAGCTTATGTCTTAATTTTTTTTATTTGTATATTACTGTAAGACATTTAGCAAGTGTATTTGAATAAGAAAGAGTTTCTTTCCGCCAAAAGCACTAGAAAGGATAAATAGCTAAATGTGATAAGTTTACTGTATGTTGCTCAATTCAATCGTTAGTTTTCAATGAATATTTTGTAAATCAAATCAGTGGACAATTTATGATCGATTAGAGTAATGTTTAGTTGTTTCAAGTAATATTCACTTTGTACCTCAAATGAATTTTATTCTTATTTTGAGTTAGTAATAAAATTACTGTAATGTCACCCTTCTTTAATTTTTTAGCTCTTATACTCGAAGAGCTTATGCGATAATAGGTGTCCATCGTCCCCCCAGTCCGTCTAGTTGTCTGTCTGTCCGTCTGTAAACAATATAAAAGAAATTTCTTCGAAATATTTCAAAATGCTACTCCTCCCACAGTTTTGGTCTGATTTCAATATAATTGGCACACAAGTAAACCACACTAAGATACTCTGTTTAGCGATTTTTGATTTCGATGAACGGTGTTGCCATGGCTTTTAAAAATAGATATTTCTTTGAAATATTTTCAAAATGCTTCTCCTACAGTTTTGATTTACTAGCAATAAATCTTTGCCTAAAAAAATCTTAAGCAATGAAATTTTTTAAGTCTGTAGTTTTGCTCTCGCAGAGTTTCATCTTCCAATGCTACTTTTCTCTTCCTTTTTTATAAGTTTAAACCAGTAGAGCGACAGTCTCGTCAGAGACTTTTGGTCTTTCTTTTCAGGCTGAAGATCACAACTTACAAATAAACAGCTTCCAATATTTTTAATATCAAGAATCTACGGCGTCTAAATATAAAACATCTGAAACATAATCCTCCAATTGAAACTTGTTAGTGTTCTTCCTAACCCCACAACATTAGTCCTTCTGAACACTCCATTTCTAGTGATGTAAAAACAATTATTAATGAGAATATTAAATCACTAATTTTAAATAGGATAAAATTAGAGAACCCTGATCTTTCAAGAGGAGCCCAATTTTTTTTAAAATATGAATTCTGTTGAAAATCACACCAGACAACTGGCTAAACATAAAAGACCTTGACAGTTTGTCAGATGGATAAAACATGTGGGAAACAGTATTCGAGCTCAAAAGTCCATCAAACAATACAAAATAGGAGCACATCAAACACGGATCTCCAGAACATCAGAGTGTGGGATAAGGTGCCATAGAAGAATGAGCATCTGCAGCCGAACGGTCACACCCGC